TTTTTTTTTTTTTTTTTTTTTTTTTTGGTATCTTTCTTGCTAAAAACGTAATCGATTCGTGGCAAGTCTACCACTAAACAAAAAATAATACTCTAGGGAATGACAGGCGGTATGGAATAGGAAAATCTTAAATTGGATAAGGTCTATTACACGTGGTCTAAAATGGAAAAAAAAGCGGCATTTCATCTAAGCCGAAAATTCTATGTACGAACAATAATCGAAACTTGCAGCGAAACTTAAGACGGTAGACGAGAAAAATTATATCAGGGAGCTGTACGGCTCCCCACCCCTCCCCCTGCGGAAGGAAATATGCTCAATGCTAACTTAAAAGTGCATGGTATTTCCACCAGGATTCATTCAGTTTGAGATACCTTTGACGCTGCTAGATCGCTGATACGCGCGATATGATGATACTCTAGCATGTCGTAGTTCTTAGAATTTTTACGATATTTTTGAACATAATCTGATAAATATCAGGTATATACTCAACAAATACAGTTTAAAATACCTATGACCCTTATTTTTTTACTTTTTTATATCGAAATATAAGCTATTCTAAGTAACGTGTCGAAAGAATGTTTTGATTCTGACGCTTCTTTCTATTTTTTTCGAGCGGTCAAAAGTGCGAAAATAGGAAGATTCCAAAATATGTGGTGGGGAAGCGTCATCTAAACCCGAACGAAATGAGCTGTAATTAAGCCATGGGGCTGTTCAATATATCAACAACACACGGTGCGTGTTTTATTTGATTTTAATTATTTTAAAGCGTAAAAATGAGGATTCAAAAATACTCATATGATACCCATATAATCTTTGTCTGTCTGTCTGTCTGTCTGTCTGTCTGTCTGTCTCTCGATCGATTCAGTTATTCAACACTAACGGTAAGCCTGGGCTACCTGTGGATTTACAAAAAAATGTATGGGATACTGAAAACGTCCTTGCGTTTCTTGGGGTTTTTTAGGAGTCTTTTGACTTTTAACTGCTTTCTTGGGCTTCTATGAGGAAGTTCATTATCTAAATATTCCATTTCCAGTTCTCATCGGGATTCGTAGCCTAATTTACTGGTAATATTGAAGCGAACACAACCTAGTAAAGCAAAAAAGTGAGGTGATGTRTACAAAGGTCACTGGTTTCCTTATCCACCACCTTCCATACGTCGGTTCACTGATCAAACACAAAGCATTAATTCATTCAAGCTTGCAAGGTTCAAATTTGAATAACCCTGTGAAACTACCTTGCAGCCTCGCTTGAGTTGCTTTGCGTGTTACCAGTGAACAAATTTATGCAAAAAATGGTGAATTATGGCGACCGAATTTGAATAAATATTGTATTGGACTGACTAGAGACTCACTAGCCTCGTGTTTATGTGGAAACATAAAGAAGCGTTTTCACATGTATGAGAGGCTAGTCGGTGAAGTACTGATATAGTTATTTAAATTGGTCGCCAAATTTTGAATAACTTTTTTTTCGGTGAATAGTATTCACATCACAACAACAAAAATATATACATTATATATACATTCTACGTGTAGTCGGTATTCAAATTAAATAGCTAGAGCGCATTTTTATTTCTTTTTTCTGCATCCTAAATCATATTGTGCTAATTGCTTACTATCAATCACGTGACTTTTTGGAGTTGACTAGGGGGCAAACATGAGAGTATGTGAACCGCGTGGCACTAATGAAATAGTAGAAGATAATATAGGTAAGTTGTAGTGCTTGGGAACGAGGTTATTCCGGGCGAGAGCCCTTGGAATTAAATTCGGAAAAATTAATTTCCGACCTCGCTGGTCGAACCCACGACCTTCGGAATTGTACTACCGATGCTCTACCAGCTGAGCTAGAGGTCAGACTGAGAGCAGGCCGGGGTGAAATAGATGTTAGGTCGCGGTAATTATGATGCAAAGATGAGAGTATGTGGACCGCGTGGCACTAATGAGATAGTAGAAGATAATATAGGTAAGTTGTAGTGCTTGGGAACGAGGTTATTCCGGGCGAAAGCCCTTGGAATTAAATTCGGAAAAATTAATTTCCGACCTCGCTGGGATTCGAACCCACGACCTTCGGAATTGTACTACCGATGCTCTACCAGCTGAGCTAGAGGTCAGAGCTAGGGGGCAAACAAGCGGTTAACTGGGGGGCAACTAGCGGATGCTAAGTCAAAACATATCAAAATAAGTCCTCAAACTATTGTATTTGACTATTTTCACGACATCAAACCAGAAAACAAGAGATCGAAACAACCTCCAGGATTCTACAAGCCATCAAAAAAGAGCTATTACCGGAAGTGACGTCTATTGATAGCAACCTATTTTTGGGTAAGACAACAACAAATAAAGAATGCGTTGTCATCAACGGACCAATTGGCCCTTTGCAGCTAGTGGTCACGTGCTTGGATACCGCTTAGCAACACAAAACTGGAGAGCAAGCCTTCCAGTAAACAAAAGTTGTAATA